CTTCATAAATGTTACTTTGCTCACACTCCAACAGCACGTCAAGTATTAAAAACCATTTGTCTCCATTCACTCCTATCAAACACGCTCACGCATGCCTGTGGAAGTCCAAGCCCCTCGCACACAAAACCTCCTTTAACCCCCTCCCTCCAACCTTTCTAGGCCGACCCCTACCCCACCTTCCTTCCACTACAGACTGATATACTCTTGAAGTCACTCTGTTCGCTCCATTCTCTCTACATGTCCAAACCACCTCAACAACCCTTCCTCAGCCCTCTGGACAACAGTTTTGGTAATCCCGCACCTCCTCTAACTTCCAAACTACGAATTCTCTGCATTATATTCACACCACACATTGCCTCAGACATGACATCTCCACTGCCTCCAGCCTTCTCCTCGCTGCAACATTCATCACCCATGCTTCACACCCATATAAGAGCATTGGTAAAACTATACTCTCACACATTCCCCTTTTTGCCTCCAAGGACAAAGTTCTTCGTCTCCACAGACTCCTAAGTGCACCACTCACCCTTTTCCCCTCATCAATTCTATGATTCACCTCATCTTTCATAGACCCATCCGCTGACACGTCCACTCCCAAATATCTGAATACATTCACCTCCTCCATACTCTCTCCCTCCAATCTGATATCCAATCTTTCATCACCTAATATTTTTGTTATCCTCATAACCTTACTCTTTCCTGTATTCACTTTTAATTTCTTCTTTTGCACACCCTACCAAATTCATCCACCAATCTCTGCAACTTCTCTTCAGAATCTCCCAAGAGCACAGTGTCATCAGCAAAGAGCAACTGTGACAACTCCCACTTTGTGTGTGATTCTTTATCTTTTAACTCCACGCCTCTTGCCAAGACCCTCGCATTTACTTCTCTTACAACCCCATCTATAAATATATTAAACAACCACGGTCACATCACACATCCTTGTCTAAGGCCTACTTTTACTGGGAAATAATTTCCCTCTTTTCCTACATACTCTAACTTGAGCCTCACTATCCTCGTAAAAACTCTTCACTGCTTTCAGTAACCTACCTCCTACACCATACACCTGCAACATCTGCCACACTGCCCCCCTATCCACCCTGCCATATGCCTTTTCCAAATCCATAAATGCCACAAAGACCTCTTTAGCCTTATCTAAATACTGTTCACTTATAGTTTCACTGTAAACACCTGGTCCACACACCCCCCTACCTTTCCTAAAGCCTCCTTGTTCATCTGCTATCCTATTCTCCGTCTTACTCTTAATTCTTTCAATAATAACTCTACCATACACTTTACCAGGTATACTCAACAGACTTATCCCCCTATAATTTTTGCACTCTCTTTTGTCCCCTTTGCCTTTATACAAAGGAACTATGCATGCCTCTGCCAATCCCTAGGTACCTTACCCTCTTCCATACATTTATTAAATAAATTGCACCAACCACTCCAAAACTATATCCCCACCTGCTTTTAACATTTCTATCTTTATCCCATCAATCCCGGCTGCCTTACCCCCTTTCATTTTACCTACTGCCTCACGAACTTCCCCACACTCACAACTGGCTCTTCCTCACTCCTACAAGATGTTATTCCTCCTTGCCCTATACACAAAATCAACAGCTTCCCTATCTTCATCAACATTTAACAATTCCTCAAATATTCCCTCCATCTTCCCAATACCTCTAACTCTCCATTTAATAACTCTCCTCTCCTATTTTTAACTGACAAATCCATTGTTCTCTAGGCTTCCTTAACTTGTTAATCTCACTCCAAAACTTTTTCTTATTTTCAACAAAATTTGTTGATAACATCTCACCACTCTCTCATTTGCTCTCTTTTTACATTGCTTCACCACTCTCTTAACCTCTCTCTTTTCTCCATATACTCTTCCCTCCTTGCATCACTTCTACTTTGTAAAAACTTCTCATATGCTAACTTTTTCTCCCTTACTACTCTCTTTACATCATCATTCCACCAATCGCTCCTCTTCCCTCCCGCACCCACTTTCCTGTAACCACAAACTTCTGCTGAACACTCTAACACTACATTTTTAAACCTACCCCATACCTCTTCGACCCCATTGCCTATGCTCTCATTAGCCCATCTATCCTCCAATAGCTGTTTATATCTTACCCTAACTGCCTCCTCTTTTAGTTTATAAACCTTCACCTCTCTCTTCCCTGATGCTTCTATTCTCCTTGTATCCCATCTACCTTTTACTCTCAGTGTAGCTACAACTAGAAAGTGATGTGATATATCTGTGGCCCCTCTATAAACATGTACATCCTGAAGTCTACTCAACAGTCTTTTATCTACCAATACATAATCCAACAAACTACTGTCATTTCGCCCTACATCATATCTTGTATACTTATTTATCCTCTTTTTCTTAAAATATGTATTACCTATAACTAAACCCCTTTCTATACAAAGTTCAATCAAATGGCTCCCATTATCATTTACACCTGGCACCCCCAAACTTACCTACCACACCCTCTCTAAAAGTTTCTCCTACTTTAGCATTCAGATCCCTACCACAATTACTCTCCCACTTGGTTCAAAGGCTCCTATACATTCACTTAACATCTCCCAAAATCTCTCTCTCTCCTCTACATTCCTCTCTTCTCCAGGTGCATACACGCTTATTATGACCCACTTTTCGCATCCAACCTTTACTTTAATCCACATAATTCTTGAATTTACACATTCATATTCTCTTTTCTCCTTCCATAACTGATCCTTCAACATTACTGCTACCCCTTCCTTTGCTCTAACTCTCTCAGATACTCCAGATTTAATCCCATTTATTTCCCCCACCGAAACTCCCCTACCCCCTTCAGCTTTGTTTCGCTTAGGGCCAGGACATCCAACTTCTTTTCATTCATAACATCAGCAATCATCTGTTTCTTGTCATCTGCACTACATCCACGCACATTCAAGCATCCCAGTTTTATAAAGTATTTATAATAATTATTATACAGCAGACTGTCATTTAAAACAAGTGTATTTGGCACATTTTGGTTATAGCACAACTGAAGAATTGTGGCACAATTTTATACAACACTTCATAAAATTAACTTAACACGGTTCAGTCTGCGGGAGGGGAAAAATTTTTGACCGCTCGGTCGCCATCCCCCACCACCCTCCACCACCCTCACCACCCTCCCAGCCCGGTTCAAGTGTTTAATGCTGATGAGACAAGTGTTTTTTGGAAGAAAATGCCAACACGAACTTATATCAATCAGGAAGAGAAAAGTGCGCCAGGCTTCAAGACAGCAAAGGATCACTTCACCTTGCTCCTTTGTGCTAATGCATCAGGTGATTTCAAGTGTAAGGCCATGGTTATTTACCACTCTAAGAATCCTTGTGCTTTGAAAGGTGTAGATAAAAACACCTTACCAGTAATTTGGAGGTCAAACCAGTCAGTATGGATGACAGGAAATATTTATTGACTGGTTTAAGCATCATTTTATTCCTGAAGTCAAGTTTTACATGCACAGCAAGAACTTTACATTCAAGGCTCTCTTCATTCTTGATAATTCTCGTACTCATCCACAAGCTTTGTTGGATGTGACCCCATATGTAAAAGTTGTATCTTTACTGCTGAATACAACATCCCTAATTCAACCACTGGATCTTGGAGTTAAGTCATTCAAGTGTAAGTACACAAAAAAGTTATGAAAAAACTAGTTGCATCAATGGACTCTGACTCCAACCTGGCAGTACCAAGCTTCTAGAATAAATTGAACATTGCAGATGCCATCAGCTATGCTAGAAGTGCATGGAATGAAGTGCTCCAATCAACATTAAATGCAGGCTGGGGAAAGTTATGGCCTTCTGTAGTTAATCCTTTGACTGGTTTTTCCTCACTTGAGAGTCAGGTTCAGGAAATTGTTCAGCTGGCAAGGAGATTACCAGGTGATGGTTTTGAAGATATGAATAAAGAAGATGTGAATGACCCCTTAGAAGATGATGATGATGAAGACAGGAGTCCAGAGGAAATATTGGCAGAGCTTGATGCACAGATACAAGGGAGCCAGATACCAGAAGAAGGTGAAGAAGAGCCTAAAGGAAAACAGTTAACACTGCAGTAGTTACATGAGCAGTTCCATAATATTGGTAAAGTTACAGACTTTTTCACTGAAGAGGACCCTGACAAATCTAGAAGCAGGGCTTTGAAACGGGGTCTAGACCAGTTGATAATGCCTTACCGTCAGCTGTATAATACACTGCAGGGTAAAAGAGCCCAAAGATCCATTACAGAATTTATGCACACTCCAATACAACCATCAACTTTAGTACCAGAACCCCTACCATCCACTTCTGCCAACAACCAACAACCATCCACCTCAGTCCAGTAGGGCCATACTATGCATATCCACTCTCTTTGCAATCATCCACAAACACCATTACCCACAATTGCATTTGTAGTCATAAGCAGTAATATACCACGACAATGATCTACAATTACATATGCACTTTTATTTTTGTAAGATCTGTTGGTCTAAAAAAAAAGTTGTTTGGCTTTTTGGGGGCTCCCAGAAACATAACCCTATTTTTCCTATAAGTTCTTCAGTTCATTTCATACGGTTTTTTACTTAACACAGCATTTTCAGGAATGTAACTGCCGTGTTAAATGACGGTCTACTGTAACTATTATAACGTTTCTGTGGAAATGCAAAAGCCTGTAATAGTCATACAGCATCTGAGGAATGGGAGTGATGGGCAATCATGTTTGATCCAAAAGGAGGGCTGCTTCAATTCCTTGGATCAAGAGTTATTCACCAGCATCAAGGCACCTCCCATGAAAGATAAGAAGCTGTCTAAAACTTTCAATAGTTTGGTGGCTGTGTAGAAAAATTAGAGATTTGTAATCAGCAGTAAGAAATGCTACACAACTGCACAATGAAAATCATAAATCCATTGTTAACAAAGGGTTTCATTATTCATCTTTTACCCTGTATGATTTAAGGCTGGATGTTATATACATTACTTACTCATATATTTTTTAAGTCATGACAAAGGGACCACTGAAGTTTCAGTCCCGTCGTGCTTTGCGTGATGAACGAAGTCGAGCTTGCCTCAGCTCCTCTACCGATGGGCTTGGTTCCTGATGGTTTCCCAGAAGTTCACGAATAAACTTGAATCTTGATAGGAACAGCCACCAAACTACATACCAACCTAGAAATATATTACTTTAAGGTAAGGTTTACAACTACTACTCTGCAGAACTCAAACATTAGTTTACAATCTACAATACATACAACCCTATAGGCAACATAGAATAAGTATGTATTTTTTGTGGAAATTATTTTTGGAGTTATTAAATAGTAAATTCATTTTGGCTGTGCAGCATATCTGAGTCAATCAACTCTTAGTATTGTCATGTCACTCCCCCACCCAAACATAAACTAAGAAGCACCAAGATATTACTTTTACATTACAGGAGGGCCCCACTTTACAGTGCTTTGCTTTAGTGTTTTCAAATATACCCATTCTTCATTTATGCGGCTTCCTACAATATATATATTTAGGTAAGTAATGTATGTATTGTATATGCTTTTTAGGACTAGCTCTATTGCTCACTTAATGAATCATAATGTAAACACCTTATCAGGTTTTTATATGAATCTGAAAGGGAAAAAAGGCTACGTTTCACTTTACAGTGATTTTTCACTTTACAACAGTGGTCCTGAGCCTAACCTACTGTATAAGTGGGCCCTGCCTGTAGTATATTATATCAGTACTAAATTTGTATTGCTAATTAATGAAAAAATAGGCAAGGAGTTATAGGTGACCGCAACGAAATATGGGCTCTAGCTCATATTCTCTCCTATTGAAGATTCTTCAATCAAGGTCCCTAATGGAAATAAGTCACTGACTTTTTTTTGGGCTATCCTAAATGATTTACACACATTACTATGTATGGTAACTGTACTTATGTGTACCTGTACCTAAATAAACTTACTTAACACTATTCTTCTGTACTCACTTCAAGGTCCACCCTCAAGAGGGTCTTTTCTGTACGTCTTTGTTGCTGTCAACAGGTAAGTAAGTTTTTATTCAGGTACAGGTACACATAAATACAGTTACATAAATTATCATACATAGCAGCATATGTATAAATTACCTAGGATAACCCAGAAAAGTCAGACAAAATGACATATTTCCACTGGGGTCCTTTACAAGCATTCATTGAATGAGAACAATAAAATTTACCTTCTGTTTTCTTCAGAATTTTATTATAATACATAGATTAACACTTAAACTGGTTCCTTGATGCATCAGTGGCATCAAGGAACCCTTAAAGATGAACATGGGTATTCCTTTGATGAGTTCCGAGTTTTTCTACTCCCGGAACCCGGCCATAGGCCAAGCTCGTCTGGTGTTTGCCTGGTAAACCAGGCTATTGCTGCTGGTAATCTGCCGACCCCATTCATCACAGCCTGGTTGACCTGGCACCTAAGCACTCAAGACCAAACTGAGAGCATGACCGTGTTATTATAATCAAGGGGAAAGCGCTAAACCTGTAGGGTTATACAACGCCTGTGGGAGAAGATGTGGAAGGAATTCAGACTTAATTCAGGGAACTGGAGCACAGATCCAATTCCCTAGATCAAGAGCCCCTCACCAGCATCAAGGAACCTTCTCTGAGGGGTCATGACCTTATAACCTCTATATTAACCTACCAAGGGCAACGAAGATCATAACGAGGGCGAGGAAAGCGACCACAGAGAGTGAGCTGATGATTAGCTCTTTGTATTCCATCGTGACCTAACCCTACATGTGCCGCCTCTACACACAGCTTTTCTTTCTTTGTTGAGTTTATCAGGGCCACCGACAGCATGAGCCGTATCGAGCCCGAGCACAGCTGTTCACTCTTCAGTAGAGCCAGAACCTTGTTGTTGTTGGGGTTACTAAGGGCCATCACGGCTCACAAAACATTGAGATCAACCTTCCGGTATTCTGAGAGCAAATATTGCCTAAATAAGGGAGAAAATATTAACGGATATTAGCATTCTTAGCGAAGAAGGTGGACCTCCTCGCTCAAGCTCTAGACAGAACGAAACACAAAGTACCAACAGGAGGGAAAAAAGACACAAATCGCAGCATAATGAAATCCTTTATTGATAACGTTCCGTCCACACAGCTTTAAATAAGTACGTTTAGGTTCAGGGCCACATTAGTACAATTATCCTACATAGTAACAAATTTGTAAATTACCTAGAAAACCACCCAAAAAAGTCAAAAGTAACTTATTTCCATTGGGGTCCTTTTTTTTTATTATCACACTGGCCGATTCCCACCAAGGCAGGGTGGTCCGAAAAAGAAAAACTTTCACCATCATTCACTCCATCACTGTCTTGCCAGAAGGGTGCTTTACACTACAGTTTTTAAACTGCAACATTAACACCCCTCCTTCAGAGTGCAGGCACTGTACTTCCCATCTCCAGGACTCAAGTCTGGCCTGCCGGTTTCCCTGAACCCCTTCATAAATGTTACTTTGCTCACACTCCAACAGCACGTCAAGTATTAAAAACCATTTGTCTCCATTCACTCCTATCAAACACGCTCACGCATGCCTGCTGGAAGTCCAAGCCCTCGCACACAAAACCTCCTTTACCCCTCCCTCCAACCTTTCCTAGGCCGAAACCCCTACCCCGCCTTCCTTCCACTACAGACTGATACACTCTTGAAGTCACTCTGTTTCGCTCCATTCTCTCTACATGTCCGAACCACCTCAACAACCCTTCCTCATCCTCTGGACAACAGTTTTGGTAATCCCGCACCTCCTCCTAAAATTCCAAACTACGAATTCTCTGCATTATTCACACCACACATTGCCCTCAGACATGACATCTCCACTGCCTCCAGCCTTCTCCTCGCTGCAACATTCATCACCCATGCTTCACACTCATATAAGAGCTTTGGTAAAACTATACTCTCATACATTCCTCTTTTGCCTCCAAGGACAAAGTTCTTTGTCTCCACAGACTCCTAAGTGCACCACTCGCCCTTTTCCCCTCATCAATTCTATGATTCACCTCATCTTTCATAGACCCATCCGCTGACACGTCCACTCCCAAATATCTGAATACATTCACCTCCTCCATACTCTCTCCCTCCAATCTGATATCCAATCTTTCATCACCTAATCTTTTTGTTATCCTCAAAACCTTACTCTTTCCTGTATTCACTTTTAATTTTCTTCTTTTGCACACCCTACCAAATTCATCCACCAATCTCTGCAACTTCTCTTCAGAATCTCCCAAGAGCACAGTGTCATCAGCAAAGAGCAACTGTGACAACTCCCACTTTATGTGTGATTCTTTATCTTTTAACTCCACGCCTCTTGCCAAGACCCTCGCATTTACTTCTCTTACAACCCCATCTATAAATATATTAAACAACCACGGTGACATCAACATCCTTGTCTAAGCCTACTTTTACTGGGAAATAATTTCCCTCTTTCCTACATACTCTAAAATTGAGCCTCACTATCCTCGTAAAAACTCTTCACTGCTTTCAGTAACCTACCTCCTACACCATACACCTGCAACATCTGCCACATTGCCCCCCTATCCACCCTGCCATATGCCTTTTCCAAATCCATAAATGCCACAAAGACCTCTTTAGCCTTATCTAAATACTGTTCACTTATATGTTTCACTGTAAACACCTGGTCCACACACCCCCTACCTTTCCTAAAGCCTCCTTGTTCATCTGCTATCCTATTCTCCGTCTTACTCTTAATTCTTTCAATAATAACTCTACCATACACTTTACCAGGTATACTCAACAGACTTATCCCCCTATAATTTTTGCACTCTCTTTTGTCCCTTTGCCTTTATACAAAGGAACTATGCATGCTCTCTGCCAATCCCTAGGTACCTTACCCTCTTCCATACATTTATTAAATAATTGCACCAACCACTCCAAAACTATATCCCCACCTGCTTTTAACATTTCTATCTTTATCCCATCAATCCCGCTGCCTTACCCCCTTTCATTTTACCTACTGCCTCACGAACTTCCCCCACACTCACAACTGGCTCTTCCTCACTCCTACAAGATGTTATTCCTCCTTGCCCTATACACGAAATCACAGCTTCCCTATCTTCATCAACATTTAACAATTCCTCAAAATATTCCCTCCATCTTCCCAATACCTCTAACTCTCCATTTAATAACTCTCCTCTCCTATTTTTAACTGACAAATCCATTTGTTCTCTAGGCTTCCTTAACTTGTTAATCTCACTCCAAAACTTTTTCTTATTTTCAACAAAATTTGTTGATAACATCTCACCCACTCTCTCATTTGCTCTCTTTTTACATTGCTTCACCACTCTCTTAACCTCTCTCTTTTTCTCCATATACTCTTCCCTCCTTGCATCACTTCTACTTTGTAAAAACTTCTCATATGCTAACTTTTTCTCCCTTACTACTCTCTTTACATTATCATTCCACCAATCGCTCCTCTTCCCCTCCGCACCCACTTTCCTGTAACCACAAACTTCTGCTGAACACTCTAACACTACATTTTTAAACCTACCCCATACCTCTTCGACCCCATTGCCTATGCTCTCATTAGCCCATCTATCCTCCAGTAGCTCTTTATATCTTACCCTAACTGCCTCCTCTTTTAGTTTATAAACCTTCACCTCTCTCTTCCCTGATGCTTCTATTCTCCTTGTATCCCATCTACCTTTTACTCTCAGTGTAGCTACAGCTAGAAAGTGATGTGATATATCTGTGGCCCCTCTATAAACATGTATATCCTGAAGTCTACTCAACAGTCTTTTATCTACCAATACATATCCAAACAAACTACTGTCATTTCGCCCTACATCATATCTTGTATACTTATTTATCCTCTTTTTCTTAAAATATGTATTACCTATAACTAAACCCCTTTCTATACAAAGTTCAATCAAAGGGCTCCCATTATCATTTACACCTGGCACCCCAAACTTACCTACCACACCCTCTCTAAAAGTTTCTCCTACTTTAGCATTCAGGTCCCCTACCACAATTACTCTCTCACTTGATTCAAAGGTTCCTATTCATTCACTTAACATCTCCCAAAATCTCTCTCTCTCCTCTGCATTCCTCTCTTCTCCAGGTGCATACACGCTTATTATGACCCACTTTTCGCATCCAACCTTTACTTTAATCCACATAATTCTTGAATTTACACATTCATATTCTCTTTTCTCCTTCCATAACTGATCCTTCAACATTACTGCTACCCCTTCCTTTGCTCTAACTCTCTCAGATACTCCAGATTTAATCCCATTTATTTCCCCCCACCGAAACTCCCCTAACCCTTTATCAGGTTATATAGATCTAATATCTGTTTGTGTCTTGATAAAGTCCACTGTGTGAGTGAAATGTTGTTAACAAAGAATTGCATTATATTTGCCTCTTTTTTTTCCACCCACACTCTACTTGAGTTAATGACCGGCTTCCAACAGAGCTGTACAAAACTTGGCTAGGTCAGCGGATGGCATTCGTTTTACCGAACTTTAATCATAAATCACTATAATAGTTATACAAAATTAGTTACAATTTGTGCCATTATTTAGAATAATTAGTATTTTTTAAATACATAATTAATTATTTACTGTAAATTCATGCGTAAAATATATTTACTGATTAAATTCTAACATTACTAGTATATAACACAAACAAGAGTGATGAAATTGCTAGATAACACCAAGTTGATAAAGAAGACATGTAATACACTTGGCTATCTTTATTCTGAAGTGTGGGTTTAGTGCTTAGTTATGATTATAATAACCTGCTTTGAAGATGTTATTTGATATAAACCACTTGTTTCCTTGGATGCACTGTTGTGTGTACTGCTCGTGAGACTAATCTAAATGGGAGGAGAATGAAATTAGTGGGTTTATTTAGGCACAGGTACACATCAGTACAATTATCATACATAGCTGGAGTTTACCTGGAGAGAGTCCCGGGGGTCAATACCCCTGCGGCCCGGTCTGTGGCCAGGCCTCATGGTGGATCAGGGCCTAATCAACAAGGCTGTTACTGTTGGCTGCACGCAATCCAACGTACGAACTACAGCCCGGCTGGTCAGGTAATGACTTTAGGTGCTTGTCCAGTGCCAGCTTGAAGACTGCCAGGGGTCTATTGGTAATCCCCCTTATGTATGCTGGGAGGCAGTTGAACAGTCTCGGGCCCCTAACACTTATTGTGTTGTCTCTTAACGTGCTAGTGACACCCCTGCTTTTCATTGGGGGGGGGGGATGTTGCATCGTCTGCCAAGTCTTTTGCTTTCGTTGTGAGTGATTTTCGTGTGCAAGTTTGGTACTAGTCCCTCTAGGATTTTCCAGGAGTATATAACCATGTATCTCTCCCGCCTGTGTTCCAGGGAGTACAAGTTCAGGAACTTCAAGCGCTCCCAGTAATTGGGGTGTTTTATCTCCGTTATGCGCGCCGTGTACAGAGAACCTTCACGGCGCGCATAACGGTCATCAATTTCACCTGCCTTGAAAGGTGCTGTTAGTGTGTAGCAATATTCCAGCCTAGATAGAACAAGCGACCTGAAGAATGTCATTATGGGCTTGGCATCCCTAGTTTTGAAGGTTCTCATTATCCATCCTGTCATTTTTCTAGCAGATGCGATTGATACAATGTTATGGTCCTTGAAGGTGAGATCCTCCGACATGATCACTCCCAGGTCTTTGACGTTGGTGTTTCGCTCTATTTTGTGGAAGGAATTTGTTTTGTACTCTGATGAAGTTTTAATTTCCTCATGTTTACCATATCGGAGTAATTGAAATTTCTCATCGTTGAACTTCATATTGTTTTCTGCAGCCCACTGAAAGATTTGGTTGATGTCCGCCTGGAGCTTTGCAGTGTCTGCAATGGAAGACACTGTCATGCAGATTCGGG